CCTATAAATTTCCAAAACACACCTCCAGGTTCGGATAATGAAGAAGATGGTTATGATGAAGAAAATAATAGATGGACTCGCCAGTAAAAAAAAACAGATACTAACAGAATCCAGTCAGCCCGAAACATATAATAAGCTATTGCCAAAACTTTTACCGGCAATGCATAAAATGTGCTTGTCCCGAAAGGCTCAGGAAAAGAAATCAGATGAGTGGTTTTTTTCTCTACAATATCTGAATGTAAATATAAATGATTTAGCGATTTCTGAATCTTTTTTGGATCCCGGAAGTGAATTTGGTAGTATAAATAACCCGGCAATTAAGACACTTGAATGGAAGGCTGATAAGCCATCTGATTTTGCTATAAAAGGCAATTCTAGGCATATCACTGATTCATTAGGATGGTACACAGATGTGCCAGTTACTATGAAGGACAAAGAGAGTGAGACAGTCACAGTCATTGGAAATTTTGTATGTATAGATAATGGCGAACCTGAACCAATACTATTTTTAGGTATGTCAAATATTCGAAAGCTCCAAGGTGTTCCTGAGCCAAATAAAAACCAGTTCCGCATAAAGTTACATGGGAAGACCTATGTTATTCCAACATATAGTAAGGCCCTAGTAGCTAAGGATTCGCCAAAAGAGAAGCAGAAGGTAGTCTCTCAGGAATCCTCCACGCATGATTCAGCCCAAGTATCCACCAATTCCTCTAGCCTAACTAGTGAGGATGATTTAAAAAAAAGTGCGTAAATTGTATGGATTATGGAGATATGATAATTCGTATGAAAGAGCTCGAAAAGGCATTATTTTCTAGCATTCAATTGAATTTGGAAATCATAGAATACTATAATAATTTGCTTGACCAATATGAAAAGATTTCTCTAGAACCAAATAAGGCTGAATAATTACACTTTTTTCGAGCAAGCTCGAAAAAAGAAAAAAGTAAATACTTTTCTGAATACATGTATTTAACATATAGTGATTACCTGCTTTCTGGCTTCGAGCAAGAATTGCGAGAAGGCAGGATAAAAGCACGACCAGATGCTCTAATTTTCTCTATTTCAGAAGCAGTTCTCTTATACAAATCCAAGACATCTTCGGAGAAGGATTCAGTAGATGAAATAAATGGTTACTCTAGAACCCTTTCTGATAGATCTTTAGAATCGGAGATGCTAACAGACTTAGACTTGGGATTCTTTCCTCCAGTCTTTTTTTTCTTGCTATCCGAAGTGGTATTACATTCTAGTGAAACATCCCGGATCATGTTTTCCAGTAATGTAGTGGCCTCTGGTATATCCTGTTTATCTATTGCATTTGTACTTGAATAAGAAAGCGGAACTGTTGAATAGTTCCATTCAACTCTTCCTACTTCCTGCCCCTCCAAATCTGATATAAACGAGAAGTTGATATATGAAATTTCTTTCTTAATTGTTCTAGAGGCTTGGACTTCATATCCCGGTATTGCATGATGTCTTCATAATCTGTAGTAGATAATTTTGTAGCATCAGAGCGCATATACCTTCTGGGTGATGGATTAACCATATTGATATCTATTAGATTTTTATACTATTAAAAAAAATATACAAAAATTATTAATACTATCAAAACTATATGAAAAACCAATATTATGCGGAGTATTAGTTCTATTCATTATATGGGGACCATCTGTGGTATTAATAAAAAAAATAATACTATGCGAAGTAGTAGTACTATGCGGTGTATCAGGAGTATCAGAAGTATCAATGCTATATACAATATCAGAATTATCTTTCTTTCAAAATAAATTTTACTTGAAAAAAATAGTTACAATTACTTAGACGAAAATTCCATCTGATCATTTGTTAGGAAGTTCAGCATATAAATTATATATACTTTCGATTTTTTTATCCCAATTAATATTTTTCTTTAATAAAGGATCAGGAGGATGCTCTAGCCCTCGCCAGATTTGATACACCCGTCGTGATGATATTTTGTATTTTTTAGCCATGGTTTCTGATGCCCGCTTCATTGAATTTTTTGCTTTAATAATATCCTGAATATCTTCAGAAGATAGAGGGGTTGCATCAGATCTTTTATACCTATGCATAGTTCTTTTTATCGGTATTGCTTATATTTAAATACTTTAATTTTCTAATCCAGGCATCGGCTAGGTAGTACATACAAGGAAAAAGCTAGAAAAAAATGTAATATAATTTTTTTTGCTATATAATCATGATAAGATTATGTTCAATGTGCATACATTAAGAGATATAAAAGATAAAGGAGATCCTAAAGTGATCGGACATCGGCTTGGTAGCATCCGTGAATTAGAACTTGAGAAAGCATTACGCAGTAGCATCAAAACTGCTTCTGATATTGCTAATGAATATAAAGACCTCCAGGGCGTATATTTAAAACAAAAAGAGGATCTTGTGCTAGTTAAGTGTATTCAAAATGATCTAGATCACTTGCATGAAAAAAATAAGCGTACAGTCAGACCTCCCTAAATGCAAGTCGTCGGGACCAGCTCTAGAGCATGCATTTAGAGAGGGTTGCAATTAGAGA